TTATTCTAATTAAAAAGATAGAATCTTATATCAAAGCTGTAAGAAAAATTTACTGTTGTCTATATGTCCTTGAAAAACTAATTGAAAATGGAAATTCTTTACATGAAATCCCAGTGTTTTAGTATTTTGAAACAGCTACCTTTTCTGTTCTTTTTTGATGGAGGGAGAGTACATGTAATTCTTAAAACAATGAACAGGAAAAAAACCCATTTTACTATAGAAAACCATACAATGATCACACTGAAGCAAAAGCAGCAATGTTTTTTCTACATTTTTTTTTCTTTTACATTCTTGATAAATACCTACTGGCCTTTATTTTTTTAAAAAAATGTCCCTCTCCAAATTCCCTACATAAGGAATACATATAGTAATATTAATGACAGGAAAAGATTCTGCTTTTTTATCTCATCTTTTTTCATCTCCTGTCTTAAGATGTCATTGTTCATCTGTCTAGAACAGTGTTTCTCAAAATTAGCATAGCTGGCTAGGAAATTATAGGAGCTGAAATTCACATGTCTTAAATGAAGTTGCCAAGGTTGAGAAACACTGGTTTAGAAGGAAGTGGTATTAAGTCTGCCAAAGCAAATGTAGCAAGTTTTATGACATCTTAAAAATTACTGATTTTATCATGGTGTATATTTGTCATTTCCTACAGGCTAAAAGATTCAAAAACAATATTGCTGATCCTAACAGTGTTGATTTTTATCATGCACTACTACGACCATGCAGGTGGAAATCAATTTTATCTGTCACAAAGAATTCCTGATATATAACTGGAGAGTACATGATTTCTCAAGGCTATAAAACAAGAGAAGAGGGAATCGAACTATTCTCCAAAGCACCTGAAGGCAGAACAAGAAGCAATGGATGGAAACTAATCAAGGAGAGAACCGACCTAGAACTAAGGAGACATTTCCTGACAGTTAGAGCAATTAATCAGTGGTATGACTTGCTTCCAGAAGTTGTGGATGTTCCATCACTGGTAGTTTTTAAGAAGCGACCAGATAGCCTTTTGTCTGAAATGATATTGGGTTTCCTACTTGAACAGGGGGTTGGACTAGAAGATCTCCAAGGTCCCTTCTATTAAGAGAAAAATGTTACTGAATCTTTCTACTCCAGTATCCATGTCCCATTCCTTAACTGATTTTAGATAATGAGATTTGTTTATAAATCTGTTGTTGAATGTCATACTTTTGCAGACCATTTGGATTTTATTCCTTGGCAATCTAGTTTAGATTTTTCTTTCTTTTTTTGCCCATCAAAATCATTGGCAGGGGACTTAATGTGGTTATAACAGCGCTGTCCATTAACTTAAAATCTAATACATATGGAAGAACTGTAAAAAGTTATAGCCAACTGTTATAAAGAATAAAATCTACTATTAACCTGCTACTGCTCCTCATCCTTGAAAGGTACAGTGCTTCTAACAGACAACCTGTATTAAAGCACGTGTGGAAACAGTTATGCTCCTTAGTCATCCTCATTCATGAACCAGAAGAACCTCAGCAGCTATATAGGTACTTCTTGTTTAATGACCACAACTGGGACCAGCAGCTTGGTTGTTAAGCAAATAAGTTGCTAAGTGAAACATCACAATTTTAAGATCTTATTTCCGTTTTCCTTTGCTTTACAGACTTGTGAAAGTTGTAAATGCGAAGACTGGTTGCCAAGTTACTTTTCCACCATCATTGTAACTGCTAAATGAGGCAATAACTATTACCTGTAATGCTGGCATCTAAAGGAAATTAGTAGACTGGGCATTTCACCTTTTTTTACAGACACAGTTAAATAAAATTACTACAGACATTAATTTCTCATTTGAAGCATTACAGATGGGAGTTCTTCTAACAGATGGCCTTTCGCTGCCTCGCTTTCCCATCGTTTTCAAAGAACATTGTGACAAGAGACAGGTGCCAGCTACTCATTCCCGTCTTCCCTGTTGCTTTAGCTGCAGGCATCTTCTATTTGGGATTCTCCCAGCATGCCAGGTGTGGAGTGCATCTTGCTATGTTAGCTCCAAACAGCCAAGCCTAATGGGAGAGGGGGGGGGAGGGAGGATTTTGTATTGTGTTCTCAGAGGCTGATCTAGAAGTCTTCCTCCTCTCCCCCACACCCCACCCCACCCTCCAGGGTGATAATTGCCATCTGCAAGGGAAGCAGCGCTAATGGCAAGGGAATCCAGGCTGTCTGTGTATTCCTTGTGAATTGGGGAAGCTGAAAGGAAATTGGCTTAATTTTACAAGCCTGCTCCCTCCATCCCAGAAGGCTTGCCATCATTCTGAAGTGTTGCCATAGATACAGCTAAGAGAGAACTCTGCGTGAAATCAAAAGGGGAACTATAGAAAGATTAAGATATGTGAACCTTTGAGTTGCCTTGCTAGTTTGAAAGAGCAGTCACTACTCCCGGGATGTATATTTATGTTATTTTCACTTCTACGAAATAAGATGTAAAGAACAGTTGTTGACAACTGGACCTGGGTGTCCCAGAACCAAAATAGACTTGAGAATAAACAAAAGCATAGAATTATAATCCTTTCCAATATAGAAAAGCATGGGAGAAAGGCAACACAGTTAAATAAGCAAGAAGAGTCCCTTTAATTATCTCCAACTTTGCCCCCAATATCCAGGTTATCTTTGGCTGGAGAAAAACTCTCAGGAACAGCCTTTAACTGGAGAAAATTCAGTCCGAAGACGAAGTACATACAAACTGTCACTAAACATTCAAACAAACCAGGCTGCAGTAATTAACTTGACAGGGCAGGAGAAGGAATTGCAGCCTTGAAAGCTCAGCCAAACACACATGGTTGGGAAGACGCCAGGAACCCAGATTAGCCTCCATGATACCAGATAATTCACGATTTGCTTCTAACAACTTTGCTGTGCATAGCTTCCCTTTTTAAACACTTGTGTTCCCAGCTGCAGCTATGAAGGGAATCAGGGCCCTTTCCTCCCCTGTAAGCCATGCAGCTCATGTTGCTCCCATCTCCGTTCTTCCCTGCATGCCCTATGATGAAGAGAGGGTGGCCCTGAGTCTTCCTCTGAATTCCCTCTGCCTTGCTCTACCTCTTCCCTGCTCTGCCCAGCCGGACTTTGCCCTTCCCCAGTTTCTTCCACAGTCAAAGGAACCACATTCCCACTCCCTGTCAACTGCTCGGTCTCCCCCTTGGAATCAGATTCCGAAAGGGGCATGACACATGCATATGTTGGCTTTGGAACTACCCCACCCCACCCCGCCTTCAGAAGATGTTGAAAAATACTGATATTAAAATTATTTAAAAATCCTTTGGGTGCATAGAATTAAGAATTACTATAAAACAGCTATTTTACATTCCTTTTTTTTTCCTTTGGGAGTGCATAGCAGAATATCTGGGAATCTTCTTTTCTTGCATTGAATCATTTTCAATAATTAAAAACACTCACTGTCCCAAAAGCCACCCAGTCAAATAGAACATGGTTGAATGAGGAATGTGTGTTTTCATAGTCTTAAAATCACCAAGTCTGTTAATCTTAGATATTTAGAATTACACTTCTACTAAGATAATATTTAGTAACATGCAAACATTGATAAATTAGACAGACAGACAGACATAGAATACATATATGCATGCATCAGAAGCATTGCTTTCTTAAATCTTTACCAAAACTAACAGCAGGAGATTATTTAAAACTATGTATTTTAAAATATTAAAGAATACTTTAAAGATAATATTTTTTACAAACCACTTAAGCTGTTAGAAACCTTGATAAGTAAGTTCCACCCTAACTTCCTTTGAATCATAATTTAGTGTTAGGAATTTGGAGGTGGCTTAACTACAATTCCCAGAAGTCCCAACATTAGCTATACTGGTTAGAGCTCTTGGGAGTTGAATTCAACAACATCTGAAAATCCCAGATTGTCTGTTCCTGCATTTAATGGAGTATGGACTGTTTTACTAGCAGACTGAATGTTCCATTTCAAAGATTGTTTTTTTCTTACCAGGATCAATCAGATCAGGGCATAATTCAATTCCTTAAAACTCAAATGTTGTATAACGGTGCAGATCAGGCGCTTCTGGGATTATTGCTTTGTACATCTGTAATCATGTTCATCCTTCATTCACATTTTTTAAGAGTCTGGTTTTTTTCAGACCTTGAAATTTTCTTGCACAAGAACTCTGAATAGTTAAGAAAGTCTTCATGGAGAAGCAAGCGCCATTGGATTCCATGAAAGAGCAACAGCGCCACATCCTGGACAACTGCAGCCTTTTTTTCTTAAATTGTCTTTGTGTTTCCTGACGCATCTCTACATTACCTCAGAAGAAGGGACAATGAAAAAGATACATAATCGTAATTTAAGATTCTCAAGAATCCAAATTCTTTACAGGGCTCCAGATTGTTCTTCACAAATCGTTAAGCATTATATTTCCATACTAGCAAATGAAATATAACTTTAAGGCACTTTAATTTATTTTAAAGTACTGATATTAGTGGAAAGAATTAAACTGACAACCATTCACTAAGGGAACTATTTTTATTATCTCTATTCCATGAAAAACTCACAAGGCTAAAAAGTGCAACTATCAAATATATCTATTTATTTCCAAATAGAGGCACAGTAAAGGTAGTCCTCAACTTACAACCACAATTGAGCCCAAAATTTCATTTGTTAAGTGAGTTTTGTTCCATTTTATGACCTTTCTTGCCTCAGTTGTTAAGTGAATCACTGCATAAGTTAGTTACCCATTAATTAAGTGAATCTGTCTTCCCCCATTGACTTTGCTTGTGAAAAGGTCGCAAAAGGGCATTACATGACTTTGGGACACAGGAATGGTTATACGTATGAACCAGTTGTCATGCATGTCAATTTTGATCACATGATCATGGGGGTGCTACCAAGGTTGTAACTGTTAAAAATGGTCATAAGTCACTTTCTCCAGTACCATTGAACAGTCATTAAATGAACTGTTGTAAGTCGACTCACATTCTAATTCTAAAATGCTATATATCTCTGTTTCTTACAGCTCCTGCTATAGTTGTGCCACCAAAAAGGATTCACAATGTAACTGGAGCCCAGGTCTATTTGTCCTGTGAGGTGAAAGCTGTTCCAACACCAGTCATCACTTGGAAGAAAGTAAGTTAAGGGTCCTTCTAGATGCCAGTTGGCTGAATCGGGAACCTACATCAATGCCAGGAAAACTTCTGACTCAAAAGCAATATCTTACTTGTGGGAGTAGGTTGTGAGATATATTCAGTTGATCCTGGATCTTCTAGAACCCCAAAAAGATCTATTTACAAAATATAGAGCAGGGCTGTCAAACTCGCAGTCCACGCGCTGGCCATGGCCACGCCCAGTTTAGCAAAGGGGGGGGGAAGTTCTGATAAGTCATGTGATGCTGCCATGACGACGCAAGTTTTGACACCCCTGATATAGAGGTATTCATAGACTGGATCTTAAAAGCTCTATTAAAATCCTGCAGGAGGGTAGAGCAGCTCCTTCATTGGATGTATTATTATTAACAGTTTTTCTTTACCCTTAATTAGCTGGAGCTGACAAAAAGCATTGAGGTCCTGAAGATAAAATATATTTTAAATTCAGTGAGCTCTGTTTATTCTTGAATATATACTGTTAGATTATCATGATAGAGGTAGATTATCACCCTTTTCGTTAGATCAACAGTCAGTACCATTTTGTAGGTGGCTGAAGAATTGTAGTGAATGAGGTAATGATACAAGATGCGTATGGCAAGTCTTCTCTATTATTTTTAAAATAAATCTTTGCACTGTGGCAGTTTTAGGATTTGTACAACAAATGCCTTGTGTTTCCTTTATCATGATGCTCTTGATTTTTGGCAGCAAGTACCAGAAGAAGCTCTGAGAGTGCCAAAAATGGTCCAGGGGGCTCCAAATGTTCATCATAGATTAAATGGTTAAACCTATGAATATCCCAGAAAGGGAAGTCTTGAGGAATGGTAGGCTAGGAAACGGAGTATGGCAGTTATAGCAAACAAAGTATCTTAGGGTATTGGAATGTAAGGTTATGATGAGGCATAATATTAAACAAAGCAAGAAAATAACTAAGCTCAGAGAGAACCAAAGACTTTTCATTTCAACTCTGAGCTGCAAAATATTCTCCATTAAACAAAGCCTCAAGTTTTCTTTAAATAAAAATTGTTATACACAAATGGTTAAATAAAACATGTAAATAAGTCTAAGCCAATGAATCTCTTTCAAATAGGCCATCTTGGTTAAATCCCATAGGTCACGGAGTCCCCCAAGGGAGTTAGGCTCTTAGAAGAATTGCCCGGAGACAGAGTTAACATGGCTGTTCAGGTTCGAGGTGGTCCCTCTAAGCATGAGAGCACAGGCTGGGTTTTGGTAAGTATGTCAGAAGGGCAATTTGTAGTGGGACAGCTACTGGGATACGGAACGATTTTTATGTGTAGGATCTCATTTCTTTGGCGAATGATCCCTCAGGATTGTATGTCATCAGTGAGTGTAATTAAACCCAGTGATTTGTGGTAAAAATTTATTTATTTGTCAAATGTATTCACCTATCTCACCGTGGGGCTACTCTAAGCAGCTTACAACAATAATGAAGAAGAAACGAAAAGAAGTGTAAATATAAAAGTAGCAAAGTAAAGGAACAATAGAATAAACCCTGAAAAAGAAAGAAGGATAGGGTGATATGAGAATAAAAGACGGGGTGGGTGGGTAAGCAGGGAGTGAGGGGGAAGGTGGGGCTTGCTATCAATCTGTAGTATCCCCTCCAATGTGTTGGTAGTTTCTTTATTTCATTTTCTTCGTTTCCTTTCTTTCCTTCGATGGAAGCATCATCCCATTTATTCCTATCATCATGATCCTACCCTTTTCAACAGACTGTCAGGAGATAGATAGGTTGCTCTTGCCAGAGACTGCTTTGATTACAAATAGACAGGCTTTGAAATTCAGCCAAAGGCCGGAGGAAACACAGAAAAGTGGAGAGAGCGAGGGAAGGACAGACAGACAGCCCTCTGAGAGCCATAGTGGGTGTAGCTTGCAAATGAGCAGTGCTAAATTTTCCAGCCTTTGTGAGATTGGGAATTATAGTGAATGAAGCCTTCTTAGAAGTGTAAAACAATAGAATTGGGAATAATTGATTCAGTTGCAAAGTTTCAGGAATATTAAGGCATAAAATTAATGCTTAGACCTGGGCATAATCTAAAAGACCCATTTTGCCTTTTGAAGTTCCTTCTTAACTCTCATCAAATTATAAAAAAAAATGGGCTAAAAGTATTAACTCCACCAAATGCAGGGGTGCTTTGTTGGATCTAGAAATATTCTGGGCCTGCTAAAAGAATACTAGAGATAAGTATGGAAACTACAGGTTCTGCATCTATGGGTGGAACAGGATCTGCACCATTATTTTGGCTTAAATATATCATTTGTGTGCAGGAAGATCAAGGGGTCATTAGGCTTTGTAGCCAGCATGCAATTCTCTTTCAAGTACCGTGTTTCTCATATAATAAGGCCGGGTCTTATTTTTTTTTTTGAGCCCCGAAAAAATGGCTAGGTCTTCTTTTAGGGGGTGACTTAATTCCCCCCCCCTTGTATCCTTGGGCGGGCGGGCGGCGATGGCTTGGATGTTGACCTCGG